AAGTCATATGGTCATACATAAGTCCATGTTACAATAAAGTAAAATTAGAGTCATTTCTTGATTATCCAGTGTCCCATTTTACACCTAAGATCTACTCATCTGTGACAGTAATGTTTAATAGTATGGGGGAAAAACCTTACCCCAAAAGTTGGTGGTTCAAAATAAGACAAATTTATTTTGCTCCTAAATTGACCAGTTGGACAGAATTTGGTGAGAATAGCTCCTGTCTGCCCAACATGACACCCGGTAGAGAGGCACAAAGATTGAACATAAGAATCATTTGAAGACTCAATTACATACAGTTCTTCTTGGAGGCTGATTCTGACTCTTGGTTAAGGGCCTGTGTGAGTAACCCAGGTCTGTAGGCAAGTTATACTTCCTTAAAGCATGGCTGCTGGTTATTATGGGCAGGTATCTTAAGAGGGGTTATGAGACAGTCAGGGAAAGCTGTAGCCCGAGGATTTGGTCCTAGAAAACCACATGGCCTCTTTTCCATTATAGTCTATTAGCTGGAATAATCTCAACCCTTCCAGCCTGATCCAGAAGTAGAGATCATGGATCTCATTTCTTGAAGAAAAGAGGTGTCAGTCATTAAAGAATTTACGGGATGGACCATTTTTTAGTCACATCATCCCAGAAGAGTTTGGTAATCCAACTATTCCTGCTGCCTGAAGAAGCAAGAAATAAATATGGAGCAGGCAACATTCTGTTGAACTCATGTATCTGAGAGCTGTTTTTGGGTCAACCAGGTATGCGTCTGGCTAGTCATATGAAAGCACATTTTATCTTTATTTAATCCTCCTCTCTTCTGGACTTCCTCACATTATATATTTCTCCTATGCTTTGTCTCTTTTATGGCCCAAATATAAGTGCAAAGAAGCATTGCCACACTTCAGGAACAAATACATCCGAAGTTCAAAATCAACTGAGATCACAGTATTACCTGTTCGCAATCTACGAGGCCTTTCCGTTTTATTTCCTAAAGATTGGTGTAGAGAAGACATAGTTCCTGAGTCCAAATTCTTATCCTACCCTTGCCTAAGGTTTATAGAATTGTTACATAGACAACTGAGCAATAATTATAGCATTCAGATTTCTATTTAAAATAGATACCATTTTCCTGGGGGAAGTTATCTATGTGATCTGCTTTCCTGAGTGGGGCATGGAAAGCACTCCTGTCAGCTCAAAGTATTATACATAATTGTGAAGACAACTCTAGTTTTCACGTATTCACTGAACACTCCTATTTTAAAAATGGAGTTTCCCTTCTTACCATGTCCTGGTTTCTTTATTTTCCTCTGGCACCTACACTTTTCCAAATTCTCAGTTGAAAGTGGAGGCCATAACCAAGTGAAGTAGAGAATGTGGGAGTCAATTTGATCACAAGATGACTGTCCAGCTGTAGAGGGTAAATATCAGGCCAAAAATCAGATTGGCTAAGAATTATTCAACTCATGTGAATAATTCAACTCCTATTTGGAGCCCCCCACCAAACTAAGTGGTAGAACTTTATGTAAGATGAAGAAAAGATTCCTTGCTTCCAATTGTTTCCTAGGTTCCCACTAGATTAGATGGTCTTATAAAGATACAGGCTTTGATCCTGTTATAATCTGGATGGTATGATATCTGTGTCCCCTAACTCCCAAGAACAGTGTTGGACAGCTTTCTCCAGCATGCACACTATAGGTTGGCCATGACTACTCTAGTATAAGGAGGTAAAAATTTGGGTAGAAGATTAGGTCATGGTGATATATCCCTCCTGAAGGGAACAGTGCCCTTTGGAAAGGGGGCTAAAGGAGTTTACTCCTGTTGCCCTGTGGAGAAGCAGATGGCACCATTTCTGGACCAAAAAGAAGGATTCTCACCCTATAATCAAATCAGAAAGCATCTTAATCTTAGATTTTCCTGTCTTCAGAATTGTGAGAAATTTCCAAAAACCATGGCAAATGTTTAAATAAGGCTAAAAAATATATTACAGTAAAAGTTATTTTGCCGTTAATCCCCTTCAAAATATCCTCCCTTTCTTAAAAGTATGGTTATTCTATTGATCTTGCTGCTTTCTGAAATGGTTTCATTAGTGAGTCTGTACCCACAGCCTGCAGGATCTTCATCAAGTATGATAAAAAAAAAAAAAAAAAAATGGAGAAAAGGTGGAATTGACCTGGCTATTTCTGATCATTTTAATATGACTAGACTTTGGCTTCTGAAGCTGAAGATGCTTGCCTTCTGTATCATGCTTTATCTGTCTAACTACAATCAACTAGGGAAAAACACTAGGGTTTCAAAATACTAGAAGGCTAATCCATAGATTTTACAGGTGTCTGCTCTTCTTTGTCCATTTAGCCAATCCTCTCAGAATCCCAGGGCACTGCTGCCCTTGTGTCCTCATGGGTAACATTTTAGCTACCTCTGTCTCCATCACTGCTTCCAGGTAGTGCTACAAATCCTGCCTCTGTTGCCACCTGTGAAGGTCAGGGTTACTGCCCTCCCCTTCCACCTCCCGCCCCACCCTCACTATTTTGGTGGCCAAGAATTTGACCCCTACGTCATGCTGTATTATCAGGAAATCTCACTCCAAATACTTGTGAACTCCAGTTATATCTGTAGCTACTTCCCAACAGTTGCAGAAGCTCTTCTCTTATTCTCCGTTTTCTTCCTCTGGATTTATAGAAAAACACAGAGTTTAACAAGTCAAAGTCACAAACTGGTGAGTGAACAGCTTCTGAAATCCTTTGATATGTTATCCTGAAATCTGTGTGTTTGTTGAAGTCTTAATCCTCAGTAATTAGAGCTAAGGACATTCAGAGGCAACTAGGGATGAAGAAGTCATAAGGGCAGTGCCACTGTTACGGAATTAAAGCCCTCAGACCCTTAAAAGAAGAACCATCAGGTAACAGCTTGCTGGGGCTCCTGTTCTCCTGTTCTCTCTTTCCCTTACTCTCCCATCTTCAAGTCAGAAAGAAGGACATTACCAGAAACTGAATTGACCAGAGCTTTGATTTTGCACTTCTCAGTTTTTAGAACTAGGAGACATAATTTTTTCTTGTTAAAGTTGCCCAAGCTATGATATTTTGTTATGGTGGCCTGAGCTAGCTAAAACGTACACATTCCTTTTTCATTTTTTTCTCTACCTTATCTTTTATTTTCTTCCTTGATTTCATGATAAGGTATTTAATTACTACTTTAACCCTGTTGTATTTTCAAAGTAGATGAGCAAGCAGAATGAGTGGTTGACAGAATAAATGTTTTTTCCCAACATGAACTCACCCAACTCTCTCTTCCCGCTGTATCCCTAATTAAATCTTGAAAACACTCTTCCCAGTTGCCTGTGACAGATGCACCCTCTGAGAATATGGAAGTGTGTTGCTGGTACAGAGCACTCATTCCATTTTCCTAGGCTGCACTTTTCGGCGTGGCTTGGTGAGCACAGCATCTCTGGACAGTGGCACTGTGGCCTCCTGCTCTATTCCATCATGTAGATGAAAGGCCAGACACTAATAGCATTTGAATAATGAATGTGCCATTTCACCATGCTCATTCAAGGGAAATGAGCAAATCTGGGAAAACTGTAAGAGGAATGCTTTCCTGACAATCATACCATTAGAAGAGAAAAAAAACAAAAACCCAGCAACAAACCTGACCTAAGAGGGAGGAAATCTTCAGGATCTCAGTAACTGTTATGTTAGAAAGGCTTATCATTGAATTTTGCATTTGTGGCTGGTATGATTTTGTCACATTAGCAAGTGAGTGACTGAAAGATATTTGAAATCAAGGATTTACTGAAAATACAATGATAGGGGAAAAAATGATTCCAGGAAATAAGATTGAGACAACTAGAAGATTTATAAAATTCTAGGACTTTATAAAAAAAATAATGGTTAATTTGTATCGACATAGTTTTCTGGGTTTGACATTGATATAATAAGCCCCAATATGTCTCTTAAAAAGCTCCTCTTCTTCCTGTGTGCTCCCACAAAAGTCATAGAGGACTATGAGGAGACAGGAAGGAGCCAAAAATGTGGGCCAAAAGGGAGTTGATGCTCCGAATCATTGTTAAATGTTTCTCCCAGGGAGTCTATACGCTACAGAATCCTCTACTATATAAAATATAGTGGTTGTGTGCCAGCCAACCAAACTAAATCATTATCTTTGGGAATAGGGCCTGTGAAACTAAATTTTTAAGGTGACTGTTGAAAAATTCTTAGACACTAAAGTTTGAGAGACTTGTATTCTCAGTATTACTATGTCTAGTACAGTATCTGGCCCTTAAAAGTCAGAAAACAATTATTGCAGTCAATAAATAGTTCTCCAGGTTGTAACTTAGTTCCTGGCAGAAGCTGGTTTTAGGGCCAGGGATTTAGCTCAGTGGCATAAGTGCCTGCCTTGCAAGCATCTGGTCATGAGTTCAATCCCCAGTACCGATTTAAAAAAAAAAAAAAAAAAAAAAAACTGGTTTTAGTTAACATTCATTGGAAGTATGTTTCGGATGGATTGTGATTCATAAGAGGCACTTCCAAGTAAAAGAAAGAATCTCTCAAGCCCACCACCAGCCAGCCAAAAGTCTATTCATACAACCTAACAGCTGTTGGGATTTGCCACAGCAGGGAGACACTGGAGCAGAAGCCAGGAACACTGCTAGGAAGTGGAGTATATGGATTCAGCCACGTGAACAGGAGCATAAGACAGGATGGGGGCAGAGAGATGAAGTGGAAATTAAATCCTCACTAGAATCCTGCATGTCTGTTGCATGAAGAGCCACGACAGTCGCTGAAACTGCAAAATGTATGCTCATAAATTTTACTTGGCATTTCATGAGTGTGTTGGAATAGGTAATGCTATTCAGCTGACACAGACTCTTAGTTTGCAGTGATACCAACGTGAGCCTTATGGGACAGAAAGGATAGTCAATAAAGTACTGCAAAGGCAGTGGATGCAGTAGAATAAGCAGTGGGAGGACATCCTGAAACTCTGTGAAAGCTGGCCAGATCCCTCTGCTTACTTACCTCTCCAGCAGTCTCTCCATAGGCTTCCACATAACATGCATTGCTGGCACACATCCAAGTGTCTAGGAAAAGCGAGTGAGATAGTGACAGTGAGGTCAAGAACACCACTTCTATTACTGCATGCTGTCTGAACTCATTCCCCTCAAAATGATTTAGAGGTGGAATAAAATGGAAGGCCTGTTATGATCCCAAGAGTAAAACTTAGAGGAGTTTATTTTGGAGTATACAGTTGAAAAGCATCACCCTGCAATGTATTTTCCCCCATCATGATTATAAACCATGCTTGTTCTGAGAAATTTAAGTAACAAGGAAGCTGTTACAGTAACTCAGTTTCAAAGGACATCTTGGCGTTTGCCCATTTGCTCTCTGCGTACATCCTGTACGGTTATTGTCATTCTGTGTGTTGTCAGTTAATCTTAACTTTACCTTATAATTTGCATTTATGGGTTTTTGATAAATTGTAAAAAGAAGTTAAGAGACAGGACTATGAATATCATAATGGCACATAGCCTGCCACTAATGGCTGATATGACCTTGGTCTCTTTTTTCTTAACTTTCTCTAACCTCAGTTTCATTTTCTGTAAAATTAAATGTAACAGCCCTTACCTTGAGCAATTGTAAAATTTAAATGATATTGTATAGATACAGCCTGTTGGTGTCTGGCATATGATATGCTATTTTAAATGCGCACAACAAAGAATTTGAAGGGATGCATTATTTCCAAGCTATATGCCCCGAACCCACCCCTCAATAAGCCTTTGCAGCAGAGTACATTTTTGTGCTTAAAACTTCCTTATGTATTAAATGTATCCTTTGGCATTTAGTGTATTCTTATGCTTTTAATGTTTGATTACTAACAATGAAGAAAACTTCACTCAAACACCTTAAGCAAACATGGCCCAAGTTATTAGCCCATGTAGTGAAACTACGATATAATAATATAGAGATGGATGCCTTTGAAATTACTTGAACCTATGACTCTATCATCTGGAAGACCATGTTCTCTTTCCACATCTCATTCTTTCTTTTCTCATTTTCTAAACTAATATTCCTGAGTCTGGAGACTTGGAGCAGTTCCTCATTGACATTCTGACAACCTGATGTAAAGGGAGGAAAACACCTTTCTTCATGTAGGTCCAGACTGGAAAAAAATAGAGGAAGATAGCAGTCTTGGTGTGAGTCATGTGACCACTTTGCCATTTCCTAGGAAAAGAAGTGCATTACCATGACTTGCTTGGCAGATTGCAATAGAACAGCACCTGATGGGGTAGAGAGAGGCTGTGACTGACATCTCCTTCAGCCATGATGATGATTTGACACTCATACAGTCTAACTTTACAGATATTTCCTTAGTACAGAGTCTCAAGATTCAATTAGCAGATTGAAGTTCTTCGCATTATAAACATTCTCTTTCTCTCTCTCTCTCCATATATATATGCATACATACACACATGGACACATTTGTATTTCCAAATTTTCTTGTTCCATGGCAATGCTAGTGACCTTTCTATTACTTTAATAAATACCTGAGAAAATTAACTGATAAGTAGTTTCTTTTGGTTCAGTTTTAGAAGTTTCATTCCATGGTTGATTGGTTCTGTTGGCTTTGTGCCTCCACAAGGCAGCATGTCATGCTGGCCACATGCAGCACAACTCGTCACCTTTTGAGCAACAAGCAGAAGAGGGGAATACTGCAGCCTGGGGCTCTCCCCTGCGTTGAGAGGGCAGTTCAGTGACCCTACCTTAGAGTTCACTTCATAAAGCGACCTGGTGTCCAGCACCTGCCAATAGTGCTACGCCGAGGACTGTGACTTTATGGCATGGGTCTTTGGGGGCATGTTTGAGGTCAAGGCTACAGCTGGGGCTTTTTCTCAGACTCATTTTAGATTTCCATAACTGGGTTTATATCCCACTGCCTATGTAATATCCTTGCCTTTAGAAAAATTTGCATGATACTTAAGACTGACACATTTATCTTATCACACTATTGCCTACCATCCGTTTTCAGTATCTTAGCAAACTCTTCCTCCTGGTCCTACTAATTAGCTCTGGCCTAAAGATATTAAATCCTGGCATGCCAAGAAAAATTATACCTCATCTCAAAAGTCATCATAATGAACAATTAGGGTACTTTTTTTTTTAATTGGGAGGCCCCTGGCCTTTGGATCCTTGAGTATTACTAGGATGGCTGATTCATGTCTGGGCTCTTGACCCCAAAGAGCAAACCAGGATGTCCAACAAGATAGGGACCCCCATAAATGTGCTTCAGTGATCTGGAGGAAGTCTTAATTCTGATGGAAGAACAACCTTTCTTGGTATTTACCTAGTGTCTGCTTAGTGATTGACTGTCATCTTCCACTCTGCTTTGTGGAAATCAATAGGAAACTTAATGAAGTGAAAATGAAATCAATATTTAATTCCCGAGGTAAGAGAAACTTGCATGGTCTATGTTCAACTACCAGCTTCCCCTACTTTCAGAGGGTAATAAGAGCTGTGCTATCTTCTCTCACGGTCAAGACTTAGACTTGTAATTGTTTTTCTAAGTGATTTACAGTATTCCTACTATGTGCCAGGCATTATGTTGTAAATTTTATTTCTATCCACCCAGTAACTCCTCCTGTGATTTCCTAAAGACTGAATGTTGTGAAAAAGTCATTTAATATTCTATCTTATTTTAGCTTTACAATTATATTATGAAACATTATATATATATATATATATATATATATATATATATATATATATATATATATAAAGTTGCTTGACTTTACAAATGAGACAACTGAGGCACACAAAGAAGAAACTTGCTCTTTTAGGCTACTGCAGAGTCAGAATTTAAACCTAAGTGCGGCTAATTCCACATACTGAGGTTCTAAGCAACTTTGTGGTCTCCAGTTTCAAATTTGAGGAAACTGAGTCTCAGGAATGACTTTCCAAAGGCCATATACAGATACTAATGGATCTGAGAGTTTCATTTCACCTTCACAAGTTCTTTAGAAGTAGGAGTTAGATTTCAATCCAATCACCTGTTCCCATTTATTAAAGAGCTGTAGGGAACATGGCACGGTACTTGACCCCATAGAAAATAGATAATTGAAAACATAGTCCTGTTGTTATAGAGTTTATGTCCTAATTTGATGGTGATATAACAAATAGAACCAAAATACAACATGTAGAAATCCAGATGGTGAATCCACTAAAACACATTTCACAGTGACCAACAGGAAATGATACCTCAGAATGACTCATAACAAAAAGAAATGCATTTCCTATTATCTTGTGAAGACCTTAAGACAGTTTTGGGGCTGGTTTTGGTTTGCCTTCTCAGCATTGTCAGGATGCACATTCAAACCCTTGCCCTTTCTTGCTCTTCCCTTGTTACAGGATCTTTGGGTAAATATCAGGTGTTATATCCAGAAAAGACTGCACTTTAAAGGGCCAAATACTATTTCTTCTTACATGTCTTTTTTTGTTTTTTAAGTCAGAGAATCTTTCCCAGATTTTTTCTGCAGAAAATATTTTAGAGATCTTTGATCAGAATCAAATAATATCAATCCCCAAACTATTACTGTCTCAGGAAGAAAGACAACCATGATTGATTTGGAAGACCCGTGGGCAGGGCTGAAACATTTAAAGGATGATGAATATCTGAAAAGCAAGGGTTTCATTTTATAAAAGACAAGAGAAGTGCAAAGAACGTTAGGAAGATAACAAAGAGTATTGCTTCAACAATAAATCTGAGATAGTTACAAGGTCATTTCAGGAGCTCAGTAGGATAACAGCTGTTGAGTGTGAAGATGACATGGGACTCAAGGGAAGCTTAAGGAAAGTATTGCCCCACAAAAACATTTTACTTATCAAGCCACAGAAATCAAGGGATGGCCCATTGGCACATGGTGGAGGTGACTTGTAAAAATCTGCACAAAGAACAACATAAATTACCTGGAGTCCTGCACCTCAAGATTCTCAAGTTGAGAAACTAGCACTTCTCTTCCTTCTGAAACATCTTGGGAAACAGTGTACAAAATGGGAGGCACGAGTTTCTAATTCTTATGTGTAGCTCAGCCCTCGTACACAGGAGCTCAGAATGTTACAGGTACCTGAGTCAGTTAGAAATACTACAGTCAGACATGGCTAGGCCCTCAAGGGAGCTCACACAGAGGCCCAAATGTCTTGTGACCTTAGAGGAGATAGGCATGTATTACTGTGGGCCAGATCTCAAGAGAAAGGATTAAGCATATGCATCCACCTCCAAAGGACTGATAGTTTAAATAGTTCCCCATCACCTGGGGGAAGTCAGGAGTCACCACTTCAACCTCTACAGGAAGAGTCACTACTGCTAAGCATACTCACTTACTACATGACGTGCTGACCCATTTATTCCTGATTTAATCAGTTTTGCCTAAACAATTAATCTTATTGGTTGACCACAGTCCTGTCCCACCCTATGCCCTCCTGGAGACTTCCCATTTTTATTTACCTTAGACCAATCTCACCTCATGTTTTTACTCTATAAAAGTCCCTAGAAAAGACAGAGTCCTCGGCAACCCACTTGGCACCCCGTCTCTCCCAGACAGAAGCTTTCTTTCTGTCAATAAATATATTCTGCTCTTAACTTCCATTGTTCCTAAAATTCATGCTTCGATTTCAGAGAACAGGAACTCCTACTGGACATGTAGTAGGTTGAGAGTTTCACTCCCCAATATCAAGAACATAGGCTTTCTTGTTTCCCAAAGTCTGATTCTTTTTAGTTACCTCAGTTTGGGATTCAGAGACAAAAAACTTGATATGAAATAGATTTTGGATAGACAACCTCAGAAAGCATGGGAAGGTTGTGAGGAACATACAAAAATCCCAATAGTATGTACTACTTTGGGAGCTAGGGCTTCATTCCACCACAGTGTAGCAGAAGAGCTTTACGTGGTACAACTTGGAATATTGTAAACAAACAGCAAAAACTGGGATATTTAATCTAATGACTTGTATTTCCTGTTTGGTGAGAATTAACAGTAAGGAACTGTAGTAGCCAGCCAGCAAGACAACCCTCAGTAATCCCTGCCTC